GGCGGTTTTAAACGATCTGCATGATCTGTGCGTCTTTACCGAGCAAGGCAACATCATCAGCATAGTCCAGCTCAGTCGTCTCGTTGCCTGGAAGAAACTCTACGTCAGAACCCTGGAGACCTTCCAGAGCGCTTAATAAGACATCTTTAACCACATTGTTAAAGAGAACCGGGGACATGGGGCGTCCTTGTTACACACCGCGAGTGACGGCAAAGGGAGAAATGAGCTTACCGTGAGCCCTCACTCTACTGGAGACATTGTTGTATAAAGCTCGAGGTATGGTGATCTGCTTTCCATGAACCCCATTCCTTTGCAGACAACACCATATAGCAAGTCGTTTGATCGAATCGAACGTAGCTCGGATGTCTAAAATAGCGACAAGGCTTGACTGGCAATTAAACTAGTGCTGCTTGTGTTAGTTGGTGAAGTGTAAACATGTGATTCACACACCCACGACCGTGACGGGAACCAACCTGTTCCTCACAGCAGTGTACTTCTCAACTCGGTGTTAGCCTGCACAGTAGTATGAATCTTAACAATTTGGAGGCGACAGATATTAGCCTGATTCCTCTGTGGTTGGCGCATGCGGTACGCGCACCCTTTGTGAATATTGGTACGAGTATCGACTCTTTCCAAGAGGATGGAATCATTTCTTCACACCAGGTCCTCGAAACCAGCTGTTAACTGGTTGAAAATCGCCTCGCCACCGTACTTGAACAGCTCCGGAGGAGGTCCTTCTGAGCCAGCAGCTTTGAATCGCTTCAAGTGACGAAGCGAAAGACATGCCTCCGCTTCGGTAGGTGGTCCCAGTGGAACGTTCCAAGACGCGCAAGTTGACCTGATTGTTAGACTGGAGGAAGAAGGAGGCTAACTGTAATGAGAGTGGAAGTGCTCAGCCCAGCGGACTTTGCGCCCACTCAATTTAGTCATTCTTGACCCATCAACCTCGCAACTACCTTCACTGCCGCCAAGTTGTCTGTTTCCGGGGGTCCGAATGGTTTGGAAAAGCTTGCGAAAATTTCCATTGAGCTGCTCTCTCCATCTGCGAAACGCGTTGAGACAAACAAGTTCCGCAATCATTACGCAGGCTTTGCTTGAGTTGTTGGCTGAGGTTGCGTCGTACTTCATCGAAGCTTGGATCAGCTGGATAGCTGGGCGACAGTCAAACAATTCCAAAAAGCGAGCCGGGATCCAATCTCTCTCAGAACACCCAGCGATTTCACATTATGATTGACCGATAGAAAAGCAACGCCTTCTGCAAGAAATTCCAGTGATGTTCGACATCTGTAGGTGGAGCATTAGCGAGCGCATCTGATAAGGAAGGATTGGTAGGCCAGCTGAATGGAGTCAATAGCTAGCCTGTTGGTATCCAGCGTACGGTGCTTTGGTTTCGAGGAACCAATAATACGCATGAAAATGTCCGCACAAGCCAGAGCTTTATCTAGATAGAAGTTTGTATACCAAATTGACCTAAAATCCCATACACTGCACCGCACTGACTGTCAGTTGTTTTGGGTTATGCTTTGCTCCGTCGGAGTGCAAAGTACTTCTACAAGATTGGCAGAAACCCACTCCTGCACTGACCCTTGGTGGTTTTCAGCTAGAAGTTCTTCAGGAATTCAAGTACCTGGGCAGCTATTTTAGCGCCGGGGGATCGAAGATGAGAGTACGAACCGTGTAGCAAAAGCTCGAGGTGCTTTTGCCAGTCTTCGCTACCTGTGGCACGGGCGCCCTGAAGCGCAGAATGTATAAAGCAGCCGTCCGTTCAACCCTCTTATACGGTTGTGAAAATTGGCCCATCAAGTCGACAGACATAAGGAGGCTTGTCACGTTCGATCATCGCTGCCTTCGAAGTTTGCCTCATGTCTGGTTGGAGCACCGCGTGAGCAATGGGCGTGTTCGGCATCGCGTATTTGGTACAGGAAAAGTTAGCGAAGCGCTCAGCTCTCTTATATCACGCAGCAGGCTCCCATGGCTGGTCCACGTGTTCGCATGCCAGCACACCGACTCCCGCGACGTCATTGTTTACGCGCCGTGGATGCGGGTGGAAGAAAAGCAGATGTGGCCAAGCGATTACTTGGTCAGGAGGAATGAAGGCCTTTGCTTCGAAGTTGGCCACGGTTGGAATCTCTCGGCTTCCTGCTTGAGGACCGAAAGACGATGAACACATTTGGCTGATCACACTTACTGCTTAGCAAGGAGCCGACCTCAATGGCGTTTGTGTGGTCAGTTTCTTTGTCCTTCACCCTCCCGTTTAGCCTCCCCTCCAACCACGATCTCAATTATTAGGCATAATATGACTTTTTTCGACACAATAGCCAGTTGTTATCTCTCCGGAACGATGTCCGTCCGTTACTGGTGACTTAGCCAGCGTGCCTCTGTTGCATCTTTTTTATTTTCTAATGTATTGCGGCACAATAGTTGAGGTGTTCTCCACCTGCAGCTACTGTCGTCCACACTTCCAGGTTGCTCGAACTTCACGTGATTAATCACGTGCCGCGCGGTGACGGGACGCTTTCCTGCGTTCATAGCATTGTATCTTCGCGCAGTTGTTGCGGCCTTTAAACCGCATTCACCATACTGCCGAATAACAAGTCCTCGTTGGTTAACAGGCACGTTACGTACTCCCGTATCCCGTGTCTGTTCGTGCTCCATTACTTAAGGCAGTGTTACAATGACATGTGACACAACGCGCTGGCTAATATCGCCCTCACTGTATCCAAAATACGCGGTTCGCCGAGATACCATCACGTGCACACATTCACGCCGCACTTGTGCTAACACGTTTCAGCTTGCCTAAACCGACTTGGCTGGGTAGCATGGCTTTTTCGCTTTGTCCAGGGAGACACTAATAGTTCTCAATCACTCCACTGCCCACATTTGGCCATGATCCTCAGTACCCAGAGGGAATTTGGCTGATAGCTAACGATCGATGTAAGCGTACTGTGTCAGTACTCATCTCGGTCGACGACAAGAGAGGCTAAAGTGGCCTGCCTCACCAGCTTTACGCTTTCACTCATCTAATCCATGAACTAAACCACACGTTTGCCGAGGATACCTTACGTCTTCACCTCCAAGGTTAGAGAAAGTTCATAGGTCTGCACGCGCGCACCGTAGGCAGTACGCAGTTTGCGAAATTCCGAAAAACTTTGGATGGTGGTGACAACTATCGTACATGACCGGCATTCATCATAAGCGCGCCACGGTAGGTTCATGCACCGCTTTTCCCATTCTGAAATGCGGTCATCGGCCCTCTTCCGTCGGACTGACTGTACATGCCTCATGCTTAAACCATTCCCGTTTCCGCATATCTGATCGTTAGTGACCGTGAGCTTGAGCGCGCTGTCAACGTGCACTTGGTCTGCCATCGCGAGGTTCGACGCTCAGAAACTCCATCACTATCCTTATGTTGACAGCATATGTGCGCAATATGCTGATCTAAGTTAGCTACTCGGTGAGCCACGCTCCTTTTCTTGCATGTACCTGCGTTTGTAGGCAGCCTGAAAGCTTTGCAGTTTATGTGCTTGTACTTGTAAATGACACGTTACTGGATGCTGTGATTGTTTTACGCACAACACGTATTTGCCCTGTGGATTCCCCTGACTGCGAAATGTTGTGGTCATATGTGACAATCGCCTTTTCCTCTCGTTGATTAATGATACCAGAATAATATCTTTGCTCACATCTGGTCACTTAATAATGTCTGCCACCGCCGTATGTTGAACCAGTGAACTTAATCACTGTTTCCGAAAGGCACAGTGTCGACGGCATCGTAAGAACGATTCAATCATTCATTGATTCATCAGTTCTCCTATCTTTATTCGGCCGCGTTCTGGTTATTATTTTCGTGATTATTGGACCTTTAGGGCAAACCGCAACTAGATCGCCAAATTGTACATTTGTCGATCCGAGTCCGACGACACGGAAAAGATAACCAACGGTGTGAGTTAAGTGCTGGCGCGAGGCACATGGATGTTGTTACTCTCGCAATGAGTGTGCCAGTTTCTACTCCTATCGATTATGCTGGTGGCTGAAACCTATGGTGAGATAGAAGTGATATGATACTGTAGGCAGATGGCCAATCGAACGCTGCATTTCGCGGAGTACCGAAAGGATGCAACTTTCCCCTAAAGAACTCGGGCATGTCATCGGAAGTGGATTCCTTAGCCAATTCAGTTTGACGGAAGTGTGCGTACCCGTGAGAAGCGGAGAAGTGTATTGGTTTGCCAGCCCACGAAAAGACTGTACGTACTTGAATCAAGATTCGACGTGGCACCGGACCAAAGGAAGAAGCGTGTGACCCGATGGAGGAGTGACCAACCGAGCCAATCGTACAATCCACCCAGCAAGTCAGCAACGTGGCTCGAGGTAATTTTAGGTAGAATGAACGTGGCGAGCAAGCATAAACCAATGTAACGGGAGCGAGCGACATACTGTAAATAACAAGGATGAGTCAGTGGAGTAGACTTTCGTAAATAGTGCACCTACTCTGCACATATCCATGCGTAATCTTAATAGACGAATTTGTGATCGCGGCCCAATTTTCCTGATTTACGGAGGGCTACTCAACAACCTTGCATGTGTATGAGGGAGAGACGGACAGTATAACCCTAACTAGACTCCTTTTAATCGCTGCATCACCTGTCCGCCAAGTTGTGCTTCATTTCATCATTTAGGTCATTTAAAGCCTCTACTAATTCAAACCCTGGATAGAGTGAATCTTTACCTTGCAACCTCGTTGTCGTTTTTACTATTCCGAATAAAACGTGTACCTAATGATCAGACCAAGATCATTGAACTGCGCATTTTGTAAATGTAGTATTTATTTCTTTACTGCCCCGTAGCATTGGACGGTCCTCTACTTTGTACTTTGTGTTTCAGTTTAGTAGAGGGACCACTTAGTTTAACGGTCAACTCCCGTTTTTCGTTTAAATTGGCTGTGCTCTTCTACTTGCATTGCTCACATCATTCCATTAATGCTATTACTTCGTTCTCCCTCTTCTCTATCGTTAGAACGCACTCTCTCACTGTTTGCGAGTTGAGACTGACTTTTTGGCCAACCTATTTCTCATGGATTATTCCCTGTTGGTTGGGATCGACCCATCCACCAACCAGTTGGTGGTCGGCCTGATCGACTACCTGAGGAAGTTCACCTTCGACAAACGGATGGAAATGATGATTAAGCAGACCATAACCAGTGCCCAAGCCCCACCACCCACTATCCTGACTCCGGACTTGTATCGCGAACGCTTTCTGATGCAAATGGACAACTATTTTATTCTCGTTCCCGATCACTGGTACGATAGCATGGCAGAGCACACAGAGGCTTGGCAGGCACGCCGCTGCACACTGCCACAGCATGCCCAGCAACCCACGGTGATGGAAAATGTGGATTCCTGATGTAACTACCCCATCCGTTCTAACTTCTTGCATGCAGTTTACCACGCATCTGCGCAGACGTTTGATCTATTTTCTTTTACCTTTGTATTTTTCTTATTCGCCTTGGCAATCTGTGACATTTTTTAATTTTTCATTGTTTTACATCTCATTTGCCTGGATGTTTTTATCTTGAATAGAGTCGATTATTTGGACCCCAGTTGTTTTTTTTCCAATTTGCCTCCTCTCCGGCGTAGGCACGCTTTGTATGCCATTTTACAGATCACTTGTGATTGCGTGTATTGTTCATTTCTCATGTTTCTTACACACTTACTCTTCGATTCTGTTATAACGCTGAGCCCTGCTCGCTCTCGACTGGTTGATTCGCGTCTGCTGCTAACTCTGCGCCCTTACGCGTGCTCTGTTCAACGCCTTGGAAAACCCGACCGGAACGAAGACAGAAGACTACTCAGCAGACCAGAGTTCTATTAGATCAAAGAAAGCTCATATTTATATGTCGGTATCACAGTGCGGATTTGACCATACGCTCACGCTCCACACATACTTGTCCGCTCCATCTATCCAGTTCACTATGTTGCTCACGCATTCCAGTCTTCGTCCACCTACGCAACGCGCGTGATGTTTGACGCGCGATTTCATCAGATTCCGGTCAGGCCTTGGCGACAAGCCTGCTGTCTGACGCGCGATTTCATCAACTCTCGGCTGGGTCCTGCTAACACGCTCGCAGGGACCTTCCCACACACGATAGGTGACAAATGCGCGGGCGTTGGC